CCTCCAGCGATTCTGCCATAAGGACTATATCGTCGGCAAATCGAAGGTGAGTGATGTACTCGCCATTGATGTTGATACCATATCCTTTCCAGTCCAGAAGCTTGAAAACATCTTCCAATGCAGCGGTAAAGAGTTTCGGGGATATGACGTCACCCTGTCTTACACCTCTCTGCAATTGGATAGGTTTCGTACTCTGGTTCTGTACTCTGATAGCCATCGTGGCCCTACTGTACAAGCACTTCAACACTTCGATATACCGACAGTCAACTTAGCATCGCTGAAGGGACTGCAGCACCGCCCAAATTTCGACGGAATCAAAGGCTTTCTCATAGTCCACATACGCCAGACATAGTGGCAAATTGTACTCCTCGGACTTCTGTACAATTTGCCGAAGGGTATGTATGTGGTCTATGGTGCTAAAGCCTTTTCGGAAACCGGCTTGTTCGGGAGGCTGGAAGTCGTCAAGTCTGCGCGCGAGACGATTCGTAATGGCTCAGAAGGGAAATCGGTCTGTAGTTCTTCAAGAGAGCGTTGTCGCCTTTCTTGAAAAACAAGACCACCGCACTTCTGCTCCACGCCTCCGGTGTAATGCCACCATGGAGGACGGAATTAAAGAGCTTCTGAAGGACTTCAAGTACCGGTTTTCCACCCGCTTTCAGAAGCTCCGCTGTAATTCCATCCTCGCCTGGGGCCTTGCCGTTTTTAAGGTGCTGAAGAGCCATTCTAATCTCGCTCAGACTGTCCGGGATATCATCGGAATAATGTCGGATAAGACTGGCTCTTGGATCGTTACCCACACTCGCGTGTGGCTCCAACGATGGCGTGTACAGCTGCCCATAGAACCTCTCAATCTCACTCAAAATCTCAGGTGTCCCTGAAACGATGCTGCCACATTCGGTCTTCAGCTTTGACAGTTGGCTCTTTCTGGCAGATAGATCTCTAGCAAAGACTTTGGAGCCTTGGTTCCACTCGATCGCTTCTTCAATACGAGCTGTATTGAAGTTGCGTAAGTCCTGCCGCATGCATTTGGAGATCTGTCTGTTCAGTTGCCTGTATACTTTCAAATCTGTTGAAGATTGTAGCTTCATCTCCCGTCTAACAGCCATGAGATTAAGAGTGTGATCAGAGAGTTTTTGTGTTCTTCTGCAGCGGGTCTTGCAGAACTTAGCACTGACCGCATGGACAGTTTCCACGAGCTTGTCATTCAAATCGTCCACTTCTTTGCAGTCTTCTAGGCACTGAAAATGGTTTTGTAACTCGAGCTGAAAGGGACTTTGGATTAGAGCACGAGGGGGACGGAGCGTTGACTTCATTAGACGAGACCTCTCCATCTTAACGTTTAGGTTCAGTGTGCCTCTAACCATTCGGTGATCGCTGCCGGTTTTCACCCTTGCGATCAATGAGACATCACTGAACAGTTTTCGTCTGGTCGTCATAATGAAGTCAATCTCATTTTTCGTCGAACCGTCGGGGCTCGACCAGGTCCACTTCCTATAAGGCCGCTTCTGGAAGAAATAGATCATCAAAAAGAGTCCCTCTTTCTCCATGAAGTCGGCCAGCTGCTAGCCCCTTGGGTTCCGTTGCCCTATTCCATATTTCCATACTTTCAGCTCACCGTTCTCTCTTGTATCGTGGGTTTTGGAGGAATGCATGGCTCTAGAGATATCCTCATACATTTCCTCTACCTCCTCATCGGGGTGTGCCGAGGTTGGTGCGTAAACCTGTATGACCTTCAGCGAATACCGTTTGGTGATTCTGAGTATAAGGTACGCAACCCTCGTCGACACACTCCCGATCTTTACAACGTTGTTAACGAGAGACTTGTGGACGATAAATCCGACACCTCCTTGGGACAGATGGTCGCCCTCCCGGTGACAGAGCAAGTTGCCGGATTCGAGGATTACCGTGTCCTCCCCCTCTCTTCGGACTTCGGATAATCCTATAATATGCCAGCGCAACTTGTCTATCTCTTCTTCCAGCTCCACGATCTTCTCGTCAGTCCTCAGGGTGCGTGCGTTGTATGTTGCCAGGTCGAGCGTCTAAGGTGGCAACCGAACCTCCACCGGAGATTCTTAGCACCCCCTGCCCCGCCGTTACCATGGTCGCCACCGTAGCCAGGAATAGCGGGGCCGCCGGGGACTGGGGGCCGTCTCTTCGTAACTTTCATCATGGGGGGTATATTGCCATAGTTGCCACGCTTGGCGAGCGGGTTGGCAACCGCAGTTTTTTATTGTATTTTTGCCGTTACCAGGAAGATGCTGCTCCCATCTCCTGCCTGTTTCCCTTTGTCGCCTTTTACGACACCCACGGGAAGATATGGGTTAGTGGATATTCTTAACCGCCACTACACAGCAAATAAATGCCTTAACCTCTCCCAATCCAAGTTACGTATATACTCAGAACCAAGAGAGGAATAAAATTCAATTCCGAGACCATTTCTTTTACCCCATTTTGACAAGTCGTTACATTTCGGTAAAGGAACGTTATTATGCACCGCCTTAAAGGTCAAATTAATGTTGCATTCAACACACAAAGGCTTATGGTCGGACCACATGACGTCTTTCAAAACATCAACGTTGGTTATAGTATCCCATGCCTGCCGTGTAGTTACACAATGATCCAACCAACTTTTCGAACCATGAGCATAGCTAATATACGTAAAGATACCACTTTTGGGTCGCAGATATTCATAATCAGCACACACCAAATCATTATCTGTACAAAAATTAAATAACTCTCAAATAATGTATTCACATCTGCGTTAAAATCACCTAAAATAAAAGCATAATTAATATCCTTATCTAAGATAATTGATTGAATAATACTTAAAATATTCGTGAAATCAGTTAAATTTTCATAATTACTTTGAGGCATATACACAGATACACATAAATATTTATTACCACACATTTCGAAAATAACTGCACATAAACTAGAGTTGTTACAATCAACAATCTCCACTTTATTAAACATCGACGATCTCCACAATATCCCAACCCCTCCATAGGGCCTACCCCGTAACATACCTTGTGTGACATCTACAGCTGAAATACCATGACTAGAAATTTTTGTATGTATAGTATTTAAGTAAGCAATAGCATCGGGTAATAACCAGGTTTCCTGAAATGCTATTATATCAAAGTCATTACATAATTCCCGTACTTGTTCAACACTACGCCTGACTGATTGACAATTAAAGGAACAAAGTTTCATAGTTAAACTATATTAATACTAACTAGATTAAAAATGCTATCGAAATAATGAATATCATTTAAAATTCCTACTATAATTTGTTACTATTTTAAATCTATATTACTAATATTACAATTAGTAATATCTACTGAATTTTACTACTTTGAGACCCTTCTACACCTCTTTTTTGTCTCCAGAAATTTACAAAACGCCGACATGCTATTCCCTCCGGCCAAAAGTCCTTATTCAGACATATATCTAGTTTATTGCTAGGTACAAATATTTTATATGCATCGTAATGCTTTTTAACCTTCATATTCATTTTTTCAATGGTCACTTCAATGTTAGATTTATTCCTAATGTAGCTTGTTATGTCACATACAGATACATCCTTCGATACGTTATAAATATATAAAGGAATTTTTATGTCAGCCGCTTTGAAATGAGCATTATCGTCCACCATAGCATTTCCTCTATTCCCAATAAAACGATTCCTTCTTCTTCTTTTCTGTACTTCAATCCATTCTTCGCTACGAGTCTCCGGCTTCCATTGTCCATTACGCACAATATCTGCAAAACATCTTTCTTTGGGAGTTGTGTCTAATGCGGCGGCCGTGTGTCCCTCCACCGACACGAGATCGGGTTGCTTCGGCCTATGAATCATAGTTTCGAGTTGCTCCGCAGCTGATTTGTTGTTAGTTATCTCAGCTGGAATGTTTTTACCACTACCGTCTATATTGATAGTTGAACATACATCGTTGCAATATTTCTCAGATTGAATTATTGATTCACAAATATTCGTATAGCATATGAACATTGAATCGTATGCACGTCTTGTTTTAGTCTCAAAATATCTTTCAGCAACGAAGATACATCCACATGATCGAATGTAACAGGGGGCAGACGATTCAAATCCTTCGCAACAAAACTTGGGAGTATGTCCGGATCATTTTCCTTAAATATTTTTATAATATCCTGCAGAAATCGCCTGCTCCTTCCATCGCCTCTTCTTGTAGAAGCACGAAGATTAACAGCCCCAGACAATATATACTTTGCCGATTCAATATCTCTGTCCGTAAAATTACTCTCACATATTTGTATTAGGCTTACTTCATCTATAACATCAATTTTACATTGAATGAAACATAGCACTTCATTAATTACTAAATTACAACACTGATTCGACATGATGCACGTGCGCTTACGACGGCGTACGCAACCGCACTCAATTTTAATTTAGCCTTTTACTTTGTATATTAATGTAAATAATATAAAAGATTTAATACTAAAATTGAAAAAAATTGTGGTAATAAAATATACATACAGTTGACAGTTGCTAAGCGACAAAAATAATAAAAAATTAAATAAATAATTTTTTATATTACGAACTTAATAATTTATTTTTAGCTACATGTTGTTTATTTTTATTATAATATTTACTGTGCATATCGTTTTTATTTATTTTATTTTCAGGACCCCAAAAAATTTTAGTACAATTTTAGTACAAATGTAAGAATCGATAGCTATCGAATTTAGTCAATCAATAATGTATATGTAAAATAAAAGGCTTTTGCACAGCACAACGATAGCGACCGATATTTTTGTGTGAGTATGTAGTACGGTGCATGGTAAATGCACGCTGTGTTGTTAAGGATACGGTTTATAATTGATTGTGTAGTACGCTCTGATTTATAAAATGCGGGTGTGTGTGCGACTGCGTATCTATTGCTTTTACTGATCTGCAAGTGTAGTAGTAGGTGGGTGGTAGGGGCCAACTGGAGACACCGGGCTCCGATACATTCTAATTATTATTGTGCGGGTGGAAATCGTAGGTCAGTGTCTTTCAAGTTATCCGTGATCCAGCGTTCAGCTTCCTGGGCCATTTCGTTATCGAAGTACTCACGCCAACCCCCGGTTTTGCCTGAAATGATTCAGTTTTTAACAAGATTTTATAAACTTGACTTACATGTATGTATGTATGAAGATAATAGAATATTTCCATTTATTTTTCACCCACTACTCAAAGTCTAAATATCTAAAATCTTGCAGACGTATTAAAAATCAACGACAATACAAAAATTTCATAACTATGACCTAGTTATTCTCACTATGATATTCATAGCTCATGATCAATGCGTGTTGGTTAACGTTTTAAAACTGTAACTAACTTTTAGCAAAGAAAACTTTAGATGCATTGTCACTTCTGAGGAATAAAATAGAATGTCTTACAGCCTGTAATTGTACTGGCTCTTCATACCATTCATATCGGAACACAGCAGTACATACATGCTGCTTGACGGCAGAAAGAGGTAAAAACGTACTTTCTTCTTAGACTGTCTCCTATGTAGAAAAAGCGTCCTACCCATCTATGCTCTTTTATATGGGAAAATTCATACGCACGCCCGCTTCGCGAAAGGCATGAACAATTTATGTCGGACTCGCACCGACTAAAACCCCACCCTTCCCCCAAACATTCCCACCCCACGGGAATGTTTTCATATACATCCGCGGCCCCATCAGTGCCGTCCGCTCCTCGGCGGGAGAACACAACTTCTCCCCCTTCACCTAAAGCGTAATAACCCCTAGATGCGGCAAGTAATCTCTGTCTAAGGATAGACATATTTGTTTATATATCAGCATATTGTCTTGCACTAGACGCTCGAAAGCCTTCGAAAGTCTTCTTACCAAGTCAAGGGTACTAGGTACGTTTCTTTTATACAATAATAAATATAACACAATTTAAAAATATAATTACCCTTTCTAACAAAAGTTTCATTCGGTAAAAACATGTTCAACTCCTTCATTTCATCCATGTTGACAGAAGAGTTTTTTTTAAAGTTATCAATATGGAGATGTGTGCATAAGCCAGCAATTTGTTCATCATTATACTCTTTACCAAGAAAATCAGCAACAAGGCGCACGATGCGAGGCAAATCCTTATACAAAAGAAATTTTAAATATTATTTTAAATATAAAATTATCCTTTTTGTTTATGAAAAAGATAAAAGATTGTAGGCACTTAAGGGTACGATGAGATGACAAGTGCTAAGCGCGCGTAGAACGCGCGTTCTACGCGCGTAAAAGTTTTGTATAATATTCACATGGTGCGCGCATGTCAGGCGTTGAACGCGCGTTGCCGCGGCCGCCCTGGTCATGTCTCATATCGTAGGACGTTTCTCTATTTCATCTATAAATAATTCGGTATTAAAAGCTTCAGTTTCCATTTTGGACGATTTCTGGATGAACTGAACGAACCCTAAAATACGTCTATCCGCATCAAAAGCGCGCGCTCAACTGAACGGTAACATAGAAAACCAATGATCTCAAAGCGCGCGTTGACGCGCGCTGTCAACAGTCTTACCGATTTTAGCCTAAGTTCGGTCCACGTAGGCACTACTATAACCTCTAATTGCAATGTGTTTTATTACCGCATGGCGAAATAAAGAATCAAGGAAAAGCCTGTTAAATTATACCACGGTATATGGTGAAGTCTATCAACACACAGTGAATCTGGAGTAAGAATTCTTCCCACTTATATGTTATGTTAGCCGCTAAATAAACCATGTAGTAAATTATGTAACTATTTTAAACAAATACACCTCTCACATAAGCTTGGCTAACACCACTGTTACGGCGCACAGCTGCCCCTGCAAAGGTCGCCTTGGCTAGGGCCCCTAGTAGCCTCCTCGACGTGCAGCCGAGGGTCGGGCCCAAATGGCCATATGGAAAAATGACCTATCATACGACGCTATAGGGAGAAGGCTATGAAAATAAATAATACGTACCTGGCTCCGAATCTAAGACCGTCCCAAGGCTCAGTCAGGCCGTAGGTAGAGTAGATATATGTACAGTGGTGTTTAGTGGTGTGTATATGTGGGTGACCTAGGCCAGCTGGGGTGACCAGGCAGCGGCCGGTTCCATGCTGCCCCACAATGCTGCATCACTCCAGCAGGCGTCCCCACTGGACCATTTCTTTCTTCATTTCACTATTTCTACTACATTTAACTAACTTTAACTAATTCAACGTTCATCGTAGAATCGAACGCGTGATATCCGACACAAATAACGAACAGTAGTTCAAAGTTTAACATTCGCTGTTCCGGATTCATTTATCACCAAATTACGAATAGAGAGCTAACGCAGTCTCTTCATGAGTTACACGGTTCAGCGTTACAAATACAACTAAAATTCCGCGTTCGATATTAAACACCACGCCGCAATAAGAATTCAAAATTAACCTAGCTGACACGTAAACTAGCTAATGAGTCAACACACAAAAGGCTCTTAACGCGACGGTATAATTAAACAATGATTTCCAAAACAATCAACCGAGCCACACCGCGATAAGGAATTCGCGGTCAATTCCACGTCACCTGAGCAAGCTAAATATTGCAAAATGCACTTCAACGCGCAATCACTATATAATTGGAGCACTTACTTTCCAACGAAATTACTTTAAGCAGTCAAAAACAATGCAAGCCTCTTGCCAAGAACTTAAAACCTAGACAAACTAAACAGAGGCGGTTTTCACGAAATCACAATTACGTAGCGAAGTCACACACACATATTCTAAATCTAGACCGTAACCCCAAATCGGTCGCGTGAAACTTCGGTAGCGGCAACCAAGGTACGCTAATTAACTGTAACGCTGCCAGCGAGCTACCGTGAACTACTGTCTTCAGCTTCCGCGTTGAGCGACTGCATCCGCCTCCCCCCACCGTCGGCATTACCTCACCTCGACACCATCGGGTTACGCGCCAGCTCGAACGCGATTGGATGCCGTTCAAAATGACCAATTTTAGGCATAAACAACCACTTATTCTAAATTCTAATTTTAACATAATTTGTAGCATATTTGTGTGTAAAATTCTAATATTTTTTACAAAAACAAGTCTAAGCGGCTAAATAAAGGATGCTAAAGGCAAATTAATAATTATTAGAACTTTTTTGTCTGTGTTTCTGTATATTAGCGTTTCAACAAAATTCTATGATAGTAGTAAATGATCCTGGGTATCATATAGGATACTTTTTACCCAGCAATGGAAATGCAAATGCACTTTTTTATTAAAATAAATAAATTGTAACAGTTTTAGCGTACCTAAAAACTTTGGAAACTGCTTCGTCATTTCCAAAATTCTATTGTAATGAAAATAGTGACTAATATAAAAAGTTACTGATCTATAAATCAAGCAATTAATACAGATATGCTTTTACAAATTATTATTTACTTAGAAAGTTTATTGTCATTCTTTTGTTTTTTTATAAAACAGAAGTGACCAACGAAGTAGCAGCATAGTAAGCGGCTACCGCAATCCATGGACACCTGCAGCAATTTTCAAATAAAAAAGGTTGTGACCTCTGAGGACTAAGAAGGAATTTCTCGCATCTGTGAATATACTGGCTCTATGTACCTTTCAGACGGGAACGCAGCAAAGAGATAAGCAAGTATGTATCTCAATTTTTACTATGATATCCAGTATTTGAAAACTGTTCAAAACTTCTTTATATCAGTAGCAAATAAATTTAATTAGATGTAAGATCACCACATTTTCACCAGCACTATAAACCCGTAGCTCCTTTAATTAAAGTTTAGCTTAATTTTGTTAAAGAAAAAATTTATGTTTTAAAAAAATAAAATTTTCACACCTTTCAAAGATCCTCATAGAATAAAAACAGCAAGTTCGGGTGATTACGCAACTCCCATGCTTCTTTCAAATGATCAAAGAATGGTGTCCAAAGAACTGAAATATTTATAACATATTAAAAATTAAAGTAATACATTTCACGTGATTTTTGAGTTGGCGTGCATAACTTATTTAACCACACCCTTACTGGGTGGGAGGGTTAGTGAATTTGGCCGTATATGGCTAAATAACCCTGTATATTTTATGCACACACATAAAATATGATAGGAAAATGGAAGAAATAGCATAATATGTGTAAAGGCACTGCTTCTTCCATGGTGAAATTTCTCCCAGCTGGCCTATAAAGAATAGTTGAAAGATAGAATAGAGGTAGATTCAGTTCATTTAAGTTCACTTTTAAACAAAGAATACGTTATATTTACAATACATTCATACTAATGTATAATAATATGATGTAATACGTTTTGCAGATGACATTATCACATTGAGCAAAATTACGAAGATCTTATATATGGTTCAGTCTTTAGACATAGAAAGCAGAAAATGTGGCCTACAAATGAACCCAGATAAAACTTGTATATTGAGAAATAGCACAAAAATGCCTGTTCAGGTTCAAAACCAAGAAATCAGATATGTAAAGGAATATATTTATCTTGGGCAAAATGTTTCCTTTCACAACTTAACAATTACGGAAGTAAGTAGAAGAATTAAATTAGAATGGAACAAATATTGGTCATTAAAACATATTTTCAAGGCAAAACTACCAACTAAGTTAACACTTTCACTGTCCGGTTTTCAGACACAATAGTAAGACAATAGCAATGACCTATATGTAGTGCACGGGACAGCGAAAGTGTTAAGAAAGAAAGCGATGGATACTACTGTACTCCCAACTTTATTATACGGATGTCAAAATTGGGCTATCACAAAGAAAATAATATCTAAACTACAAGTTTTCCAACGAGCAACGGAACGCAGCATGCTTAACATAAAGCTAAGACAACGACATAGAAATAGTGATATACGAAGAAGAACAAACATCATAGACGCGGCCAAATTGGCGTGCCAACTGAAGTGACTTAAACAGTGGTAGAGCCACGCGGCAGCTTTTGCTGTCGCACGGATGGGCCGGCTCGAACCGGGGTGGTATCACGACCTCACAGAAAACCAGCGTGAAGTAGAGGTTTACCTCTGCGTTTCGCTTGGTGAGTGCAGGTGGCCGGAGGCCCTTTTTACTGGAAATGAGACATTCCATCTTAGTCCTCACGGGTGACAACGCATCTACATTTTGATTTGTAATAGAGGATAGATGTAGATGTCTATGGGCCGCAGCAACCACTTACCATCAGGTGGACTGTGTGCTCGTTTGTCACCCTTATCCTATAAAAAAAAAGTGGCGATGGGTGGAACATGTAGCAAGAGTCAGTGATGGGAGATGGACTGAACGGGTGCTTCATTGGTACCCGCGTGATGCGACGCGCTCGCGAGGCCGGCCGCGGGCGCGCTGGTGCGACGACATTGTAGAGGTGGCAGGAGCAACGTGGACCAGGCCTTCATCCGGAAATGGGTATCCCAATATTAATAATAATTAATAAAATAAATTATGTCTATTTCATGTTTGTAGCCAAATTCATTTGATCAATATTAACTTAAATTTTATTATTTTTAATTATATATTATATGACGAAAATCAACTAAAAAAAAATTGACATTTACATAAATATAAAATGGTTTATTTACTGAAACATTATTTATAATTAAAAGTTAATTTTGTAAATTAAATTTGAACTTTTTTATTTGAAATTAACACTGATAACATGACATTTAGTAAAGGAAACAAAATTGCATGAATCATAATAATATTGTAAATTGTAAATTATTTCTCTAATATGGACTGTGTATGAATGAAAATTGGGAAATAAATGGCTGTTATTATTATTATATTTCTAAAAAGTCATAGCTTTGCTACAACGATAAGAAATATTTTTCTAAATGTTCCAAAAATAATAAATAGTCAATTGAAGAATGTTATCATCATCACCATCATCGCTACCTTACCTATACCTTTACAACCTAATAAAGTCTGTTTACTACTTAAAGTACTGCTTAACATAGGCCAGTGATGACCTATGGAACTGAGACATGGTCCTTCACCGCTGGCCGGATGAGGAAGCTCAAGGTTGCTCAGCGAGCTATGGAGAGGGCTATACTCGGAGTTTCTCTGCATGATAAACTTAGAAATGAGGACATCCGCAGTAGAACCAGAGTGACCGACATAGCCCAATGGATTAGGAAGCTGAAGTGGCAATGGGCCGGCCATATAGCTCGAAGAACCGACAATCGATGGGGAAAAAGGTTCTCGAGTGGCGGCCTCGTACCGGCGGACGAAGTGTAGGGCGTCCCCCCACTAGATGGAGTGACGACCTGGTAAGACATGCAGGAAGTCGATGGATGCAGGTGGCTCAGGACCGTGTTTTGTGGCATTCCTTGGGGGAGGCCTATGTTCAGCAGTGTACTTGTGAAGGGCTGTAATGATGATAACATAGGCCTCCCTCAAAGAACGTCACAAAGCACGATCCTAAGCCCCTTGCATCCATCGACTTACTGCATATCTTACAAGATCTCCATCTAGCGGGGGGCCGCCTTACACTTCGCTTACCGGTACGAACTTGCTTCTCGAGGATCTTTCTTCCCCATCGCTTTTCGGTTCTTGGAGCTATATGGCCGGCATATTACCGTTTCACCTTACTAATTATATTATTTAATATCTTAGAAAAATTACCTTTTACCTTAAATTACATACGTATGTGTAATATTTTAGTAAAAAGGCATTCCTTTTTTGTCACATCACATCTATTTTAAATTAGGCCACACAATCTATTTTGAATGAAGTGAACTGTGTGCTTGTTTGCCAGTATTACTCACATAAAAAATAAACCTCTTAGGGTGGATTCGACCAAATACCATGTTATACCAGACTAACTAACCCTCGAATAATTTTACTCTTTGTTCTTACTCTCAGACAACTTCGATTGAGTTTTTCCATCACAAACGTAGAGTAGCCAATATTTATTTTTATAGGATAAGGGTGACAAACGAGCACACAGTCCACCTGATGGTAAGTGGTTGCTGTGGCCCATAGACATCTACATTTATCCTCAATTACGAATAAAAATGCAGATGCGTTGTCACCAGTGAGGACTAAGATGAAATGACTCATTTCCAGTAAAAAGGGTCTCCGGTTCTCTACACTCACCATACGAAACACAGCAGCATTAAGCTGCTATTTTACGCTGGTATTCTGTGAGAGCGTGGTCCTTCCCCGGTCGACTTTACACTTGGATAAAAACATTATCTGTGTTATGATTTGGTAACACGAAAAGTTCTCTTATTCTGGTGTAATTAGTAATTTTACTCGCAGGATAAGACTTATTATACAAGTTTGTTCTAATCCGCCCTTACAAGGTGTAGTTAAACAAAAACATATAATATATGCAAAGCAACTAAAATTTACGCATAACTCACTCATGTTTCTAACAAAGAAGTTCCAATAAGTTTTGAAATCGCCGACAAAATGTGCCATCTTAAAAAGTCTGTTCTGGTGGAAAAATGAAACAGCAGCATCCCGAGGATCGCGGGCCACATACACAACTTTAGCTATATCGAGTATATGAGGAGGCAGCAGAGTCATGGGAAGATGAGTTTTGATAAAACGTGGCGACGGTTTTTCGGCGATCACTTCAGAGCCAGGCCTGCTCAAATAATCAATTATTTTTTTCCGCTCCTCGTTATCGGCATTGATACTTTTAAGTTCGCTTACTGAATCTTTATTCATGAACATTGGGAATCTGTAATTGAACAAGTATGTAGAAAATCGCTGTATAGTGGCAGCGTAATAAAATTTATAATACAGTCTCGTTCAATGGCTGTTGTAAAAATCTAATTTGAGAAAGATCACTAGGCCTCCGATAGATGTTATGATCATTGCGTAATTGCCAGCTGTCAAATATCCAGACAGAAAACAGTGTGAAATATGTGTGACATCCGCTATTGTGATTACGGCAAAAAGCCTTTATAGGACAGACCGATGAGGTCCAGCAGGGGACTGTCTAAAGGTTTTGATCCCCGTTGACACCAATCAAATTGTTAATTGCAATCATAAATACTGATGGCTCGTTGTCACGTATTCGACAGTGAGAGTAAAGTTTGTAAAGAAACCTGCATGATATTCCAGGATCTGTGAAGTACGTCAACATGGATTGGAGCAGCACAGCGGACTAATTACTTCTTAGAGACAATAAAAAAAAGATAAAAATTATAATTAAAAATAAAAATAGATATTATAGCAATAGTAAATATCATATAGATATGAGTGGAGGCCAGTTCCCAGCAGTGTATAGGCTGTAAAAACCCAGGCTCCCCGAGTTACCACATTGTTTATTCAAAAGCTTGTTAATTTTTATTATATGTAAAAATTAACAAGCCCCCCCCCCCCTGCCACCACAAGGCGGAAACCCATTCGGGGTCGTTCGGATTCGTTAGGGGATCTTAGTCCTAAGGGGTGACAACGCATCTACATTAAGGATAGATTAGGTATCTATTGACCAACGCATCTACTTTTTTTTATAGGATCGGGTGACAAACGAGCACACAGTCCACCTGATGGTAAGTGGTTACTGTGACCTATAGACATCTACATCTATCCTCAATAAAGACTCAAGACTTAGATACTATCAGTTGGACTTTGAGCTCATTTATCACTCTTACTCTACAAAGAGAACATAAACCAGTTCTGTGATATTACTCGCAACTCGCTGGTACATACTAATCAAATTAAAATTATATGTCATGGCAAGACATATAAACACTCGGAGCGGTGTGCGTTAGCGACTATTAAAAAAAGATGCGGTGACTGTATTGTAATGTAGAAATACGTACTCTATAAATGTATATCTTGACGTGAGAGGTTCGGCAGCTGCCTTTACATAATCCATATCATTTGCTAAAAGCCACACCAATTCTTGTGTCCATGTTGTCCCTGAAAATACAAATTTCCAAATTTAAAAAGAAAATGCCTAATAAAAATTAAAAATAGTTAGTAAAATCCAAAAGTGCACGCCTCATTAGCGTTTTATTTAATTTTTATGAAAAAAAATTGTATTCCTGACTTTTAAAATATATTATTTACGTGTTTTAAATTTAGCGCTCTGTTATTAACAGGTAGTGTCACCTACAGGAAAAAAAATAATAATGTTAACCAAAAAAATCGAATACACTAAGTATAAAATCGATATAGGCTTTCTCAAGAGAATGCCTTTTTGACATTAAGTTCGCCTTTGTACTAAATGTTTGTTTGAGTGCAATAAAGAATTTTCTATCTACCTATCTATCTGTCCTTTGTCCATCAAGGGCTAAAAAATATAAAAGTGCCTTTAAATCTTTAATAGCAATAAAACTTATAAAAGTTGAAAATAATTTTATTAACGAACTACGTGTGCTAGGCTATTGATATAAAATAGGGAACCAGTTAATGTAATTCTGAGCTAATAAAAAGAACCCGTTCTTGATACGTCAATTTTTTCAGGAATTAGGGGCCGAAATTCAACTCAAGACGAAACCTGCTCGGGGCAAGCGGAGCAATAAGACAAACAACCCCTGCCACGCTTTCCGTGAATTTCTGCAATATCAGGGGACTTCATTCAAACCTTAACGCCGTCCACAACTATCTGGAGACGACAAAGCCGGCCTTTCTCTTTCTATCCCAGACAACGAACAATAAAAGTTTTCAACGCCACGGCAGTCTTGAAGGTACGGATGTGTCCATCCTGTGGCTGCACGTAGACAGCGACGATTATCCACGCGTCTACGAGGGACTCTATAGGTGCCACAGCGGTAATGCCGACACAGACCGACTCATCGACCACATCCGAATAGCTGCAGACTCCATGCTACAACAGGTCCCTTCCGCAAAGATCGTGATACTCGGTGATTTTAACGCTCACCACGCTGAATGGCTTGGTTCCGGTTTAACCGATCATGCGGGTAGATCTGTTTATGACTTTGCCTTGGCATTATGGTCTGACACACTGGTTAATTACAAGCCCATTAACGCTGGTGTCCCACAAGGCTGCGTGCTATCACCAACGCTCTTTCTTCTGTATATCAATGATATGTTGCAAAGCGGTAACATTCATTGCTATGAAGACGACAGCACTGGTGATGCTTTATACACCGGCCGTGCCAATATTTCTCGCGAAAACGTCGCCGAATACCGGAACAAACTTGTGTCTGAAGTCGAGATTTTGTTGAACAACTGGGGGCGACTAAATCTAGTCCATTTAAATCCCCAGAATGTCTTCTGGGAATTGAAATGAACTTGTGTCCAAGTTTGCGCGGTTACAGCTAAATAGAACCCGTTTGTCGTATCTCCTCAGTTTCAAGGCACTTCCCTTGTTGCCGCATTCACTTTCGGAATCCTCGATGTCGACATGTCGAGTGACGTGTAGTTTCGTGGTCACTTGAAAGAGAAGGCCAAATTGGCCTCTAAAAAGCTTGGCATGCTTAGCAGAGCTTGACAGTATTTCATGCCGGCACACCGCTTGCAACTTTACAAGATGCAGATTCGGCCTCACATGGAATACTTTTTCTATCTCTGGGCAGGGGTTCCCCAGTGCCAGCTCCTTCTACATGACCGCATCCAGCGCAGAGCGGTTCGAATTGTCGACGACCGAGTTCTTTCCGATCGGCTTGACTCACTGGCACTGCGTAGAAATATTGCATCCCTTTGCGTATTTTATCGCATCTATCACGGGGAGTGCTTTGAGAAATAGTTCAGACTAATTCCAGCCACCAAATTTCATCATCGCACATTGCGACAAAACTCGCGATACCATCGATGTGCGATTTAGACGAACTTTTCTTCCTCGCACAACTTCCTTGTAGAATCGTTTACCACCAGCCATTTTTCCGGGACGATACGACTTAGGGACCTTCAAGAAAAGAGCCTACTCCTTTTTAAAAGACCGGCAACGCATCTGCAATTCCCCTGGAGTTGCAGTTGTTCATGGGCGGCGGTAGTCACTTACCATCAGGTGAGCCGCATGCTCGTTTGCCCTCTCTCCTATAAAAAATATGGTTATGACAGATACATTTTAAGAACACAAAATTGCTTGAGCTTGACGTGTCAAGAGTAAAGCACTACCCAATAACGCTTCGCGATATGAGGCGTGCAACAGTCGAAAACGATAAATGAGTGAGTAGGACTCACACCGTAACAGTTCCGAATAAATTTAAGAATATAAACGAGAGTTACACTTTTTAACCCGGTTTGATACGAAAACACGAATGCTGTCAATTAACAATTATAATATTTATTTATATACAAAACGTACATAATAATAATAATGTCCTCAAGACCAAATTTCTGTCACGGCGGCCAGCCTCTACGGAGACTAGACATCTGCGCAAGACAGGATTATAGCGCCCAATTGTACAGGTGCCCTTTCTATTCCTTCACTCTCATAGATCGATAGGATGATAAACCGACACGATCAGAGCGAGATCATACGCAGGACCAACGGCTTTACGTGTTCTCCGAGACCCTGGGGTGAAAGAACACCACCAACTTCCTGACTTCGGGCAGCTCCTGATAATTTTTTGACAGAAAAACTCAATAACAGTTTTTTTAGTTCGATCCGGGATTCGAACCCGGGACCTTATGATCAGCAGTCTCGTTTACGACCACTAGACCAAAGCGGCAGTTGAAACAAAACGTACATATAGGTACCTAAGAGTATAAGCATAAGTATTTACTTTCACCACAAAAATATTACATTAGATTTGATAAACCACAAATTCTCACGAAATAACATCGATTCCTGTCAAGGATGATACATGAGGCTATTGAAATTAAAAAACATCCTAATTTCAATAGAGAGGGAGGCTGGGTACTACCACCTACTTGGGATCCTGTAATTCATAAAATTAAAACAAAACCCAAGCATACCACTGCAAGACTTCAAGAAAGTTAGTTAATTACGTAAGTTCATTCTGCGTAGAATTAAACGCGATAAAATCCGTAAAAGTGGTTTTATTCAATGTGTAGTGTTCGCATAAATATAAGAGATCATTACACAAAAACAAATTCATTTATTATAGACAGATAAAATGGTAAGTATTGAAAATGCTATATCATTATCAATACAGCCCTTCACAAGTCAACTGCTGCATATAGGCCTCCTCCAAGGAATGCCATAAAGCACGGTCCTGAGCCTCCATCGACTTCCTGCATATCTTACCAGGTCGTAACTCCATCTTGTGGAAGAATTCCCTACACTTCGCCTACCGCGACGAGGCTGCCACTCGAGAACCTTTCTTCCCCATCGGTTGTCAGTTCTTCGAGCATTGCCACTTCAGCTTACTAATCCGTTGGGCTATGTTGGTTAGTTCTACTGCGGATATCCTCATTTTAAAATCTATCACAGAGAGAAATCCCGAGTATAGCCCTCTTCATAGCTCGCCACCCAACCTTCAGCTCCTTCATACGGCCAGCAGTGAAGGATCACGTCTCGGATTCATAAGTCATCTGGAAACACGCACTGGTTGAACAATCTTGATTTGAAGTTTTGAGGTATGCCTGATGAGAAGATGTGTCGTAATCTTCCGAATGCTGCCCAGCCGAGTTAAATCCGTCGATTGATCTCTCAATCGAAGTTGGATTTACCTAGTAGAAATATTTGTCCCAAGTAAAAATACTCGTCAACAACTTCGAGCTAAGTGTAAACATGAACTTTGTTTAGTCCATGATCATCTTAAGACCTCTTTTTTTTATAGAATAGGGGGCAAACGAGCATGCGGCTCACCTGATGGTAAGTGACTACCGCCGCCCATGAACAACCGCAATACCAGGGGAATTGCAGATGCGTTGCCGGCCTTTTAGAAAGGTGTAAGCTCTTTTCTTGAAGGTTCGAAGGTTCAAATCGGTCTACAGTTCTTCAAGAGAGCGTTTATAAACTTTCTTGAAGAACAAGACCACCGCACTTCTGGTTCACCCCTCCGGAGTAACGCCACTATGGAGAACCGTATTAAAAAGCTTTAGAAGGACTTCAATTACTGGTTTTCCACCCACTTTCAGAAGCTCACCTATAATTCCATCCTCGCCCTGGACTTGCCGTTTTTAAGGTGATGGAGAGCTATTCTAATCTCGCTCAAAGTGACATCCGGAATATCATCAGAATAATGTCGGATAAGACTTATTCTTGGATCGTTACTCACACTTGCGTGTGGCTCCAACGATAATGTTTACAGATGCCCGTAGAAACTCTCAATTTCACTCAAAATCTCAGGCAAGTGGCAAGTGGAAACAATGATACCACATTCGGTCCCGGAAACGATGCCACCACATTCGGTCTTCAGCTTCGATTGTTGGCTCTTTCTGGTACACAGATATCTGGCAAAGACTTTGGAACTTTGGTTCCGCTCGATTGTTTCCTCAATACGAGCAATATTAAAGTTGCGTAAGTCCCGCCGCATGCATATGGAGATCTGTCTGTTCAGTTGTTTGTATGCTGTCAAATCTGCTGAAGACTGCGGCTTCATTTCCCGTCTAACAACCATGAGATTAAGAGTGCGATCGAAGAGTTTTTGAGTTTTTCTGCCACGGACCTTGCAGAACTTAGCTCCGACCGCATGGATAGTCTCCACAAGCTTGTCATTCATGCCGTCCACAGCATTGCAGTCTTCTAGGTATTGAACATTATTTTGTAACTCAAACTGAAAGTTTTCGGGGTTTAGATTAGAGCACGAGGGAGATAGGGCATTAAATTCATTAGACGTAACCCCTACTTAATGTTTAGATTCAGTGTGCTTCTCACCATTTGGTGATCGCTTCCAGTTTTCACCCTGCGATCACTGAGAAATCACTGAATAATTGCCGTTTAGTCGATAATAAAGTCAATTTCTTTTTTGTCGAAGAAAGAGTTTATCATAAAGAGTCCCTTTTTTTCCGTAAAGTCGACCGGCTGCTGGCTCCTTGGGTTC